TAATCTGAGATCCCTGGCAAAATAAAGTTCTGCAGGAGTTACACCTGTTGTTTCATGTTTAGAAGATCTGTATGCTAATAGGTACAGTGGGACCCAACGGTCCCAATCTCTCTGATTCTCTGAAATAAATTTTGCTAAATAATTCAATATTGTTTGATGTTGCCGTTCTACTTGCCCGTCCGATTGAGGATGCAGGGCAGTTGTCCTTGTTTTCTTAATTCCAAGTAGGTTTGACAACTCTCGAAAAATTTTCGACTCAAAGTTCTTTCCTTGGTCTGTATGAACTTCTAAAGGAACTCCATGTCTAGAAATAACTTGATTTAAAAAAACATTTGAAATTGTTTTTGCCCTAATATTCTTTACTGGAAAGGCCTCCACCCATTTGGTGAAGCAATCCACAATTACTAGCAAATATTTATTCCCGGATGTGATTGTCGGTAAAGGACCAAGAATGTCCATCTGTACCCTTTCGAATGGAGTACCGACATTATAAATCTGTAATGGAGATTTTCCTTTCCCAGCTGGACCTTTCTTTGCAATACAAATTTTGCAAGATTTGCACCAGTCTTCCACATCTTGTTTGCAAGTCGCCCAGTAAAATCGTTTCCGAACTTTTTCTAAAGTTTTATTAATCCCAAAATGTCCTCCCGTAGATGAATCATGAGCCTCTTCTAATATGTGTTTGATTTGTTTCTTGGGTACGATTAGTTGATAAATTTCTTTTTTAAAATTTGGAGCTTCCCATCTTTTATAAAGAATACCGTTTTTCACTTTCAGAGAATCCCAATACGACCAATAGACTTTTGTAGCGGCATCTCTTGCAGCGATTTCTTGCCAAGGGGGACGCAGTCCTGTTTCTTTCGCTGAAAGAATGAAAGAAACGCCCGGATCCTCCAATTGCATCTTTCGCCATTCTTTAGAATTCTCTTCTGAAAGAATTATTCGAGCAATGGAATTTTCTTGTTTCGAAAATTCCTTCAGCTCTACTTTGACGCAATACTGGCAATTGGAATCCGCACATGGGCGTCTAGACAGTCCATCAGCGTTCTTATGAGAAAGACCCTTCCGATGAACTACTTCAAAATCATGTTGTTGGAGTCTTTCTATCCATCGTGCTAATTGTCCTTCCAAGTCTTTGAAAGACATTAACCACCTAAGTGAAACATGATCC